CGGGAACGAAGAATGACATTCGGTGTTTTTTACACACCAAAGATTTATGACCTGATGTTGGTGAGCATGATATCACTTGCTGACGCCCAAGGATTAGCACCAGTTGTAGCGCTGACCCTGTTTCGAATGATATTTGATTAAATCAATAAAATCAAAAAAATTAAACGACAGAAAGGATGGATGGCATTTAGTTCATTGATACTTCCTGTCACAGAGTTTTGTGTTGACGACTCCAAAAAACAATCACATTTACGCTTATGATTTAGTATGATTCAGATGTATGCTTTGGCGTGTTCAGTGTCACGCAGACGATGCCTCATTTCGTCAAATCCACCATTCTGTTTCATCATCAGGATATCGTTCAGTTATATGGGTTTAATGTTGTTAATTCGAACTTCCGAGGGTCGAACGGGTTATTGGATGAATTTGAGCCTGAATATCCGCCTGTAGAAGTAAACGGGTAACGGACGACACGTCTTGCCTGTATAATAGCTTATTATATTTCCTTCATAAATAAGCTGTTTCGGACAGATAAGCTAATCGCACATCAGCACTACGTTGTGAAGTTTATTTCAGGAAATAATTAAGAGATATGCATGCCATCAGATTATTGTGGAAGATACCCTTAATCCATCTGTTGGGAAATCCTTCACTTGTGCAAATTTCAGCTTAGACGGTTCAACGCTAAAACTTTTTGTCGAACGAAGTCAGGGTGCGAATCTTGGCTTAATGGAATGAATGGACCACACATGCCCTGCTTGGGAAATTGCTTCAGATTTTTCCATCTTAAATGAGACATTTCTGGCTGACAAAGTCGAAACAGATATCAGCGTTGCAGCTTGAAATCTGTTTTAGGAAATCAGGTCCACAAGCAATGCCTTTCATTGAAAGCAGTTAGGGAGAGTGACAAGCTACAGATTGACCTTCAAGACAAAGAAGGAGAGATGCGTTAGAGCTCGGTTTTTCTGTCAGCGTTACCTGCGATCTATCTATGCGGCTTTTTGGTCGTACGCAGCCTTCGTTTAGAAGAATGTTGGTTTAGATGACTTAGATA